GCTTGAGCCCAGGAGTTGGAGGTTGCTGTGAGCTGTAATGCCACAGCACTCTACCCAGGGGGACAGCTTGAGGCTCTGTCTCAGAAAAAAAAAAAGAATCTTTTATGACCATGAACTATGTGACTCCTGAGTAGTAAGCAATTCCAAGAAAGCAAGCTGGGGAACAAAGGCTGGAGATATATATATATCCCATACCTTGCCCCTGCCTCTGTTCCCACCCTATGGTCTTTTATTTATTTATAAAGGGTGGTTTCAGAAATGCCTCAAGGTGCACAGGGAGCTTTGAGTTGGGATGGAAGCTGCCCAGGAGAGGACAGCCCTAGAGGATGAGCTCCAGGCACCTGCTGGGACAGAGCATGTCCACTTTGTCCATTTTCATACATTTCATTTCCATGTATAATTTTACTTCACCAAGGTCTCTGGTGCTAAAAAAAAAAAAAAAAAAAAAAAAATCTCAAGTGTCATAGTTGATAAACAGAGCAGATGAATGTGTCTCCTGTCCGAATGCCGGTGTTAGAACTGGTACCATGTAGTCTAGAGTTTCAGTGAAGGCTATCCGGGTTGACAGGATTAATCAGGCAAGCTCAGCCAGGGTTCCTGTTCTTCTACATGAGGAATAATGAATTTTTCTGAGTTAAAGTAACTTTGTTAAAGTATCTAACAAAAAACGTTGGAGTTGCAGAGTCCCATAATCTCTAAATCTATGTTCCTTCCAGCCTGTTTTTTAATATTCCATCAGAAGCCCTTAAAACTGATATTCATTTTTGAGGACTTTCCTGCTGTGTGTACAGAGGAAATGACTCACCTGGCGAGCCTTATGGCATGAAAGCAAAGGAAATATCAAAATAAAGCTAGAATGACAAGCAACATGGCATAGTTTACTGGGAGCCTTTATTTTCATGTATGTTAAATTGTTGGACTATTTAATATACTGCAGTTGTTTAATATCTGGAAGAAATGAAACTAAATATTGGGCTGTAAATATCTAAAGTATTACTATTATTTTTTTAAAAAGTTATCATATAAGACATTCTGGATGGTGCTGTAGAAGTGTTCTTAGGTCCAAAGCACCTCTTAAATTCTCTGTTGTCTGGGGATGGTGGCTCATGCCTGTAATCCTAGGCACTTTGAGAGGTTGAAGTGAAAGGACTCCTTAAACCCAGGAGTTCAAGACCAAGCTGGGCAATAGCAAGAACTTGTCTCCACAAAGAAATAAAAGGAAACATTAGCTGAAAGTAGTCATGGTTCCTATAATCCCAGCTACTTGGGAGGCTGAGGCAGGAGGATCCCTTGAGCCCAGGAGTTGGAGGCTGCAGTGAGCTATGATGATGCCACTGCACTCAAGCCTGAACAACATAGCAAGACCTTATCTCAAATAAAAAAAGAAAAATTCTGTATTATGTAAGCTAATTTTATTAGTCAGTGGTTAATAGTTCTTCCTTTTATGTATTTTGCCTTATTTTCACAACCTTGATTCTAACAAATGAAAATAAAGCATAATTATTTCAAATTTAGCTGGCATCTTACAAAGTTCTAGAATGAAGGTTTTATTTCTTTAAAAAGTCTTTTAATGAGTTTTCTTTATTTAATTTACTTTATCTTTAATTTAGCAATGATAATAATAATGCCTATCAGAGAATACAGATGTTCTTATACTTACTCAGTATAATAATAATTATTATTATTATAATGATACCTATCTGAGAATACAGATGTTCTTATGCTTACTCAATGTAATAATAATAATAATAATGCCTATCAGAGAATAGGAACGTTCTTATGCTTACTCAATATTAGGATACCATAAGTAGGAAGTACTTTATATTGTTTTTCCCCTCCTGTTTGATAATGACACTGAGAATTCAAAACCCACTTGAACTATTTGAAGAACATTTCATTTCACATGCAAATGTATCTTTTCCTGTCCTTTGAATGAACAAGCACAATTTCCTTTATGATTAATAGACCTACTTTAAGCCAGACAGGTTTTTTTAAAATCAACTTAGTATTCTTGGTCCGTGAGCAGGAGGAAGGTTTCTGACGATGGTTTTTCTTTTTTTTAAACTTCGCAGGGAATGATCAGCCTTGTGCTGGAGTGCATAGACCGCCTGCACGTCTACAGCAGTGCCGCACACTTTGCTGACGTCGCGGGGCGAGAGGCCGGGGAATCTTGGAAGTCCATTCTCAATTCTCTGTATGAGTTGCTGGGTAAGGAGTACGGTTGGGTTCAAGGCCACTGGGTAGTGTCTATTTAGTGATCACAGAATTAACAGCAGTTTAATAATGTGCTTCCTAAGTAAGGCTTTTAATTTTTAACTTAGTTGGACTAAACCCCATGATGTTTAGTACTGAAATCCATCTCTGAATGAGAGGCAGCCAGAGCAGTAGGTTTGCCTTCGGGTAAGAAGGAGAAAGCCATCCAGCTGCAGTATTTGCAGGTGAGGGACCTCTATGTGGATGGGTATTAAAGATTTCCTTTTTGGTTCTGGACTTAGTTCCTTCTTTACATCCTCCTCACACCCCTTCTCATCAGGGATCTCTTCCAGTCCTCTCTATTCTTTATGAGATCTGCACTGGACAGTTTCTCGGCATGCTTGACACTGGTTAAGTGACAGACAGCCTAACCAGGTTCCTTGCCTGCTGCTCTGAGGAAGCCAGCACACTGTGACAGCACGGGTTGCGAAGGAGGTTTCTTTTTATTAATTTTGTTTTGAGACAGAGCCTCACTCTGTCACCCTGGGTGAACTGCTATGGTGTCATAGTTGATAGCAACCTCAAACAGATGGGCTCAAGCTGTCCTCCTGTCTCAGCCCCCTGAGCTGCTGGGACGACAGGTGCCCACCACAACACTTGGCTAGTTTTTCTGTTTTAGTAGAGACAGGGTCTTGCTTTTGCTGATCTCGAATTCCTAAATTCAGGCAATCCACCTGCCTTGGCCTCCCAGAGTGTTCGGATTATAGGTGTGAGCCTCCACGCCAGGTCTGGGGGAGTTTAAAGTTGTAGGTGCTGTGCCAAGAGATGGGAGGAGTTTCTCAGATCTGTCTCCGTGAGAAGTTGGGAGAAAGGGTTTTTAAAGACAGATGGGCAAAGGGCTAGGCGGTTGGGTTCAGGATGTGGGGTGGGGGTCACAGATCCTGGGTGGGGGTTGCAAGACTAGTGAAGTCACTTCCTTCGTGTGAGTCACCGGTCTGGGTGGGTCAGTTGGTCCACTGTAATGGGGGGCCTGAAAGATGACTAAAAAGCTGGCCTCGGGTTTCACAGCGATGTTGCTACCTGTAGGATCAATGAAGAAAGCTAAGAATCTTCCTGACCATCAGCTGTACTGCCCATCACGCCTGGGGAGTAAGCAATTATAGGAAAGACAGCTATTATATATATACGCACACACAGATAGACGCCTATACCCTTGCAGAGCTCAGACTCAGGCCCTACCACAGTTCTCACCTTCCAAACCTTTCTTTACTAGGCTTATAAAGGGCAGTTTCGGTTGCCATGGTGTACACTGCGTTCCTGTGGGCCCTGTGCAAACATAGGTCCTTTTGTCAAAACCTGAACAGTCTGGAATTTTACCCCATTTGCAAGTTAGTAAGTTAGCCTGCAAGGAGGTAAAGAGGTAGTTTATTACCTCATGCACCAGCTGTACTTGGGGTTAGAACATTTCTTGTGTCGTCAATTCCATGAGTCCAGTCCTCACAGGACAACATGAAGGGGGTCGATGACAGTGGGACCTGCGGGTGAGCAAGTTCCAGAAAAGGAGTCTTAGGGACTTACAGAGCTTAAGTCAGCTACCCCGGGCAGGGGGCCTGCCGGCTCTCTGAAGCCATCTCCCTCTTCCACAGTGATGTGCTGCAAATGTCTTTGAAAGATTCCCTGAAACAAAGGCTTTCAGTGTGTCATTTGAAAAATGTGCAGAAAAAGAAGCCCATTCTGGCCCTCACCTCTAACATGTCTGATTCACCCAATAATACAGCGTATTATTGCACATCACCTCCCAGTTTGGAAACTTGTCATATTTCTGCATCGGTCTGGTAAGACCAGCTTGCTGCACCTGGAGTAGGAGGCCCCAGCTAACCCTTCCAGCTCCACGTATTCCCATTTCCCTCCCCTTCTCCTTACTTCATCACATTTTGTGCACAGACGCGTTCACACCGCTGTGACATCCTCTTGCTGTCACCTTTTCCGAAATTTCTGTATATCCTACAAGACCCAGTTCACAGGTCATGGTCATCTGAAGTTACTCTGACATTTCTCGCAGTTGTTAAGCACGTACGACTTACTTCCCTGCTGTTGTGGCTCTTAGTATCTACCTGTCTTGTGGAACTCATCACATTTGTCCCTTAGTTACATCTGTGGCTGATTCCAAAGGCAAGAATAGCACTTTCCTGGTTTTTGTATCTCTGCCGTTTATCTCAATGTCTGGCACATAGTAGACACTTAATGAATATGTATTCAACTTGTACTTGTGATATGCTCCATAGATGTGGTCCCCCTGCCAACCCTCCCTCTATGGACCCATCCCCCGCCCTTCCCACATTGAATCCCATAATGGCGTAAATGTATTTATGATCTATGTACAAATGACTTAATTTAAAAAAGAAAGAAATGACCCATCCACTTTTTATTCTTTGTTCCCGCTCTTCCATTCTCACGTTACTGGAATACTTATTCTGTTTTATTGAACATATCGCCTGATTCCAAAATCTCAAATAAAATCAATTGAAATCTTTAAACTAAGAAAAAAAATAAATATATATTTTTTATAAATATATTCATTAAATAAGTTCTGGTGGACTAGGGAAGTGTACCTACATACAGAAAAGAGATAACGAAAAAAGTGAAAAAAAGGAAAGAGATAATATATTTTTAATGTGGGAAAGGAAAGGTAGTGAAACATCTGAAAATCCTTTGTAATCTAGTTGAACATCATTAAAGTTTATGGAGTCATAATTTAGCAGGTGAAACTTCTGCCTATTAAAATCTTTAATATGATTTTATTAGGTGGGCTCTTAGATAGGCTATTAAAATTGAACTCATGCAGTTTGGCACTTTCAGACTAAAGGGTGATCTGTAGCCAGCATTTCTGTGAACAGGACGTGGAACACTGAGGCTTTACAGGAATCTAGATTCATTATTTTACCCACAACAACGGTCCAGGTAAGGACGCTGAGATGCCAAAATTCTGAGAATTGCATTTATGTGGAAGTTACAGTCCTGGATGTCTGAATATGGTGGACCCAGCAGTGTGGCTGGGTTTTGTTTTGTTTTAACACCACACTGTAACTTTAGTAACTTGGCGTGAGGTGGGACGAATTCCTTGGTGAGCTCTGTGTTTGAGGGGAGGAAGGGTTATGTGTAGAAAGAAAGTGGTTGTAGGTCAATCGAGATAAGATGTATCTCACCTTTTCCTCCCCCCTCTTTCCACAGTCTCTGCTAGTTGGTCCCTTCCGTGGCTGAGTCCACGAATAAGAAAGACAAACAGAGGGAATTAGAATGATTTTTGTAATCATAGAACAAGCCTGTTCAACAGAGTTAATGCTGCAGCTTTAGCCCTCTGAGCTCCTTTTCCCTCAAGCCTATACCCCCTTTTACTCCACAGAGTTATTTGGGGATTAAATTTGAACATTTTGGAACCCACTGAAGTAGCATTCACTGTATAAAATGCTGGGAACTTGGAGGCCATGAGCTCAGTTCCTCGTAATTAGTTTTGTGGTTTGGTTTTTTACTGGAACATGGCGAGGGATGCTTCTTTACAATGGTTGCCTATTCAAACAGGGGAGGAACCATTGCAGGTGGGAAGTGTTCAGTTAGAAATAACAGAAGGCCAAACTCAAGCTGGCTTACACCACGAGGGGGTGTTTATTGGCTTGGCTTGCACAACTGGTGGTCTGCTGGTGGGTTTGGCTCAAAGGTTTGGTCCTATCTCTAGAAGTAGTTTTTTCACGTCTTCCCTTTGGCTTCCATGGGGTCATCTTCCTCCAAAGTTGGCTTCCCTTTACGGCCCCAGATGGCAGCTATCAGCTCCTAGAGCCACATCCGTCCTCTCTGGCATGGAAGAAATGGAAGAGGGCTTCTTTAAGAAGTTATCTCTTGAGAAAGATGGGTTATTTCTTAAAACTCTGCAAACACACCATTCCTCACCTCCCATTAGCCCAAACTGTGTCTGTGGCCATTCCTGAATCAGTCCTTCTGGCAAGAGGAGAGGAGTTTTACCAGCACTGGCTTTGACTGGTCGGGTGCCAGCTCTGGAAACTGGGATCAACCCTGGGACTGTCTGTCTCTCCAAGGGGGAATGTGTTCAGGGCATGCTGTCCAGGGAGCTGAGGGGACCACCACGAATCTTCACTCAGACAGTTGACTGAATTCTAATCAGAAGGCATTTATTCCCTGCCTGGTACCATACTTAAACAGAGTATGCATTCAATAATTATTCATTTGGATTATCTAATAAATATATTATAGTGATTCCCATTGATTTTCCTATACCAGGATAAATTTAGCCATCAATTCATGTTATTAAAAACCAGTGGACCAGTAACCTCTCCTTGATTAGTTTTTTTTCTTGAAATGCAAAAGCCTGACTTTTCATCTGTAGACAACAGCCTTTGAGAAATGACCCTCCCCATTCCTAGAGTCTCAGAACCCACGTTCTGGTGCTTATGTGGCTCAGTTTTTCTCGTCTGTGGTGTGAGGCAGACAGACTGTTCTCTCTGTGGGCTCCCTAGATCCAGGGTGAAGTGACGGCAGGCTGTCCCTGAGACTCTATCAGGAATAAGACGAAAGGAGCCTGGAGGCAGCCCGGACAGGGTAAGGTCTTGAAGACCCTGGCGGGCTGAGCCTTTTGAACTCCTGATATGCAGTTAGATTAGGGAAGCTGTTTGTCTGTCCTGCAAACTTATTTTCCCCTGCCCTTTTCTGAATGGGTTATTAGGCTTTGTTGACAATTTATTACCCTGTACTCAGCCTTACTCTCTCTCTCTTTTTTTTTTTTTGAGACAGTCTTACTTTGTTGCCCTTGGTGGAGTGTCTTGGCCTCACAGCTCATAGCAACCTCAAAGTCTTGGCCTCAAGTGATTCTCAGCCTCCTGAGTAGCTGGGACTGTAGGCACCCACCCGAACACCCAACTATAAGACAGGGTCTTATTCTTGCTCAGGCTGGTCTTAAACTTATGAGCTTAAGCTATCCACCCTCTGTGGACTCCCAGAGTGCT